GAAGAAATCTCTGTAGTAGTGTAGTGTCTAATTTTTTGTCAAATGCATTGTCTCCATGCATGATAGGGGGCGAAAAAATGTATTTGTTTTATTGATCAAAATATAATATGTTCCTTAATTTTAAATGTAAATTATTTATTCATGAATTAATATATTATTGTCTTTCATTTTAGAAGATGCACTAATTCCAATTGGAAGAGGAGCAATTCGTGGTCGTCAAACTTTAGAAAGTACATATTATAGGATAGAGAGACCAGCATCATCAACATCCAGTACTGGAAAACAAGGTATAGTGAATGTTAAACAGTAAAATATTAAAGAACTTTATTTTAAAGAGTTTTAAGTATTAATATTTATTATCTGACCATGTAAAAAATGTAATTGGAACTCTAATATAGTATTMCACTATAGTMTATAATATAGTCGATTTTAGATAAAAAAAATTGTTGGATGATTATATTTTTTTACTTTTGGATAATTTATRAATTATAACATCACATTTTTTTAACCTTTTATTGGACTTTACAGAAATTAGACAACAAACTTTCTTTTAAATGGCATTCATTATTGGTTTTTGATAGCTAGTTAAGTTCTTTACATTAAGACTATCAGCTGATCAGTACCATCACGGAATGGCCCCTACTATTAGTAATTTATAAAAAAAAACATACATCTAGTGCTGTATGAAACTATATTCATTTTGGTATTAAGAATAGTAAACTTAAGCTTAAAAGAGAAATTTTATAACACTTAAGACCTTTTTTTAAATCTAATAAGTTTTGTTTTTTGTTATATTTTTCTATAGGGGCAGGAGGACAACCTATTGAATTGATATCAAATTATTTTCCAATAAAAACTTATACTGATTGGAGTTTATACCAGTATCGAGTTGACTTTAACCCAATACAGGACAGGATAAACATCCAAAGAGGGCTATTGAGCGTGCACAAAGATGTTTTAGGAGCATACATTTTTGATGGATCAATGTTGTTTAGTAGCAAAAAATATCAACAAGACGTAACTTCTTTTAATTTTTTAGTTAATTTATATTTTAAAAATAATAACAATTACATTTTTACTTTAGMCTATTGAGCTGACATCAAAAAAACATGCTAATGATGAAATGGTAATAATTACTATAAAATTTACTTCAGTCATTGAAAAGGGCGATCACACTTCTGTCCAAGTGTTTAATTTATTGTTGCGTAAATGCCTTGCACACTTAGAACTATCACTGGTTGGAAGAAATTTCTACGATGCAAAAGCTGCAGTAAATACTTATATGAATATATTATATAATAAAGAATGATTCTAATATCTTTATTGGAATCGCTACCATTTGAATCAACTATTTTTAGCTCATATAAAATACTTACAAATCAAATAAAATAAATTTATGATTATTAAATAAATGTTAATAAAAAAAGAAACTTAAACTGTAATAATTATGCTACTTTACAATTTAAAATTTTTAATTTTCTCACTGAAATCAAAACAAAAAAAAATTCTAAAAACATTGATATGCAAATATTTAATGCTGTAAAATTGTTTTTATTGATGGACTTTAAAAATTAAATGAACTGAGTGAAGTGGGGAAAATGGGGAAATACTCTGTTGTCCATTACATGCTATTTGAATTTGCTTAATTTATAAAAAAAAAACTGAAAAATTAACTTTGTTGTTTAGAAGGTTTGAAGTGTACATATTTCAAATTGTAGAGTAGTCAGTATAATTGTAATAAATGTCAAATTTTAATTTAATAATAAACCATCAAAAATTGTACTGAGAGATAGAAAATGGAACACAATTTAAAAATTAAATTAAATGTCTGTCTTTCATAAATGTGTTAAAATAATTGTTGGTTAAACAATGAGTAACTCGGTTTACTGTATAATTATGGAGTATTGACAATGATTACCAGGGCTCAGATTTTATAGCATTTGCTAATTATTATAGGATAGAGATAAAAATAGCAGAGTGGGCTATAAATTTGTTTTATGCACCAAGGACTCCAAATATGAAATTTTATAAAGCTATTTTTGCATATTAGAAGTATTTTAGGTTTTTAGTGCTATTTTTCAAGTTTTGGTGTTATTTTTTGCTAATTTACATAATATAACGTTTTATTTTGTATTTTCATAAATCTAGTTTTTGMTATTTTTCGTGTTTTTAGAATTTCATTTAGTTTTAGTGCTATAAAATTCGAGCCCTGATGATTACAATGAGGTTATCCATTGATGGAATCTTATACTAAATACTAAATACTTGTTTTATTTTTTCCATTCTTTAAATTTACATTGTATTTTGATTTTGATTTTTTTGTGTTTATTATAGATCGATATTCCAAAATATAATCTTCAACTTTGGCCTGGATATGAAACTACAATTGGAATGTATGATAGTGGACTATTATTGCGGGCTGAAATTTCAACCAAAATCATGAGGGAAGATACTGTGTTAGATTTTTTAACAGAATGTGCAAGTGAAAGACAGACAAACCCTAATTGGATGGTCAGTAATTGTTATGATAAAATATTTATAATTGTTATCAAAAACTTCCTTATTATCTTC